ACACACACACACACACACACAGAGCGTGATGGGGAATATTAGCTCCGTGTCTTCCGGCTACAAAGAGCTGCTTCAAGCACGACTACAAATTGGATTTACTTCCCCTCCCGTCATTTTCCTGTCATGTTCCTCCCCTCGTTGCCATGACTGGTCTCCTGCTCTCTGCCCTCCCTCCTCGCTTTCCTTTTCTGCTTCTCACTTGTGTTTTTTAAACGTTCTTTCTCCTCTTTGCCTGTCAGCATCGTGACTCGCATTTTCTCCTCGTTCTCGTCGGGCCTCCACGTCTCCATCCCTGCACACCTCGGTCTAATGAGAACCCTCTGCTCTGTCTCGCTCACAGCTAAGTGGCAGCCAGAAAGCTTAAATAAATGATTCTGCGTTTTAAAACACACCCACGGGGACACAGAAACGCCACCACACACAGTTCCCACTAAGATCTGTGAGGAAACGGAGCTGCATGACGCCACAGTTTAAACTCTGAAGGCCTTTAATGGATGACACGTCTACATCTGCTGGTCCTATCTGCACATCCAAACCCAACTTAAGAACATACTGAAGCCACCTCTTGATAGTGAGTGGTAAACGGACACTTTGGACATTTACTGCGCTGTTATCAGTCATGTTGCTCCTCCACACCTTCAGTCTGCACTCTGTTGATCATCTGTATAATGTAAACTAAACCTGATTCTGATTCTGATGAGCCAGTCTGAACATTTTACCTGCTGTAGATTCTTTTTTCTTCCTGCTTCCAGCGGGGGAGGTTTAGAGGAACTTGGCTACTCAAATAAAATAAAATAACAAACCACCCTGGAGCATCTTTGGACACTAACGAGTAGCTCTAAAGAAGCTCTTATAAGCAGCGACGCTTTGACTTTTCCATTAACATCAACATGCTCCATGTTCTTCACACAGTTTGCTCAGCGTGGCTTTTTCAGCTCTTGATGACATTTTGTAGTATTCTCTATTAACTAAGTATTTCTCACACCTCAAATCTAATTCTTTATTATTATTATAGGTTCCTGACTAGATGCTAACGATAATGATTTTCTCTTTGTTATCAAGGCGTTAGCATCACCAGCTATCTGGAGGCTGGTTCGTTGTTTCTGCAGCTCCAGAGCAGCTCTGAAAGCTGACACTGGACACACCTGTGGATCCATTCACACTACAAAAGGAAAACACGGGGCTCCGGCGGGTATTTCTGAACAGCTGACTGTGACTTTGTGCTATTTGGAGGACACAGCAGTTATCTACAGATTACGTTGTGGTGTATTCCCGGCGTGTTCTGAGCTCATGAGGTGGACATTCCTTCAGTTATCAAAGCACCGCTTTGTTTGGGCATCACTACAAATCAAAGCACCTTCCAAGGAGCAGCAACGACTTCAGTTACACCTCTGCTAACGATGAGTTTCATCACGCAGCATTTCCTCCTAATCAAGCGTTTGTTGTAGGAATCATGTTTTCAGTGCACATGTGCAGTCAGTGCAGTTCACACAAGCGTCTGCATGAAGGTCCTCACAGGCAGAGGATGAAACTTTGACTGTGGCGAGCATGAATTAGCCTCAAGTGGCATCAGGAAAAAGGACAGAAGATGTCTATGGGTCTAAACGGAAGAAGGTCTCCTGTTTGGAGAATCTTCTACAAGTGGCACAGATTTCAAACGACTGCCGATTTGTTCGGCCGAGCAGAGGAGTGATCTGAAAAGAAGCCTCCGAGAACCATAAAATATCCTCACAGACAATCATGTAAAACATCCACAATCAGTCCTAAAAGGGCCAAAACCAGCTCCTGAGTGTTTTGTTGTTTTACAGAAGAATCTACATCTGTTGATATTTTTGTTGAATCAATCACTAAAAGGGCCTTTTTTTTTTTTTTTTCTGTGTTGCTGTTCAATCTGTTGGAAAGAAGACCAGACGTTGGCCTCTCCTGTTCCTGCAGTCAGTTTCTCTCCCTCTTCCTGTGCATCTTTGTGTTTGACTGCAGGACTGGAGACAGGTGGGCTGCAGCAGCTGCACTTCATCAGCACCACCGAGCTGCTTCTAACGCTCGTCCTCCGCTCCCTGCCAGAACCAACTCTACACATGTTTCTGCTCCCAGACCTCCTGCCACGTCCGACCCCTTGTCTCCCAGATCCCCGGACTCCTCTTCGTCCTGCTCTGCCCGGACTGCACCCCGAGCATCGTGTCGCTTTAGGGGGTAAACACGCTCTGGCTTGTTTGTTTATGTACAAGGATGCAGCTCTGGTGTTCCCTCAAAGCAGTGACTGGTGGAGCTGTTGTGGTGGAACTGTAGCATGCAGGTAAAGGCTTTTATCTACATCCTGCTGAGACAGGTGCCTCATACTACATAAAACATGGT